GAGTTTTATGGGGAATGTTTATTTTCTTTACATTTTCTGCATTTTCCAAATATTACTTCCATAGTTAATATTTTTTATTTTTTTAAAAAAAATTTTTTTGATTTTTATTTATTTATGATAGTCACAGAGAGAGAAAGAGAGAGAGGCAGAGACATAGGCAGAGGGAGAAGCAGGCTCCATGCACCGGGAGCCCGATGTGGGATTCGATCCCGGGTCTCCAGGATCGCGCCCTGGGCCAAAGGCAGGCGCCAAACCTCTGCGCCACCCAGGGATCCCTAGTTAATATTTTTTAAAGGAAGAAAAGTAGATTGGAGATGGAGTTATTACTCTTAGAAATTCTTGTAAGATAATCCTCATAAGCTGTGAAATTCTCAGTGACATGGCATTGCCTCTGTATCTCTCTTAAGGGAAAATTCTCAGCATAATATTTAGGTTTTTAAAATTTATTCATTTTTAAAGATTTATTTATTTTAGAGAGAGAGCACGCACCTGGGGGGAGGGGCAGAGGGAGAGAATTATCAAGCAGACTCTCTGCTGAGCAAGGAGCCCAAGGTGGGGCTCCATCTCACAACCCATGAGATTATGACTTGAGCCAAAAGCAAGAGTTGGATGCTTAACCAACTAAGCTACCCAGGCACCCCTAAAATGTATTTTTTAGTAAGGTAAGCTTTAGGATTGTAATTCAAAATAGTTTACTATTCCCAAGTGACTGCTTCTCTTCCTTCCAATGTAGAACATCACCCAAGAGTATCAACTCTTCAATGCATTGCAGGAAAAATTTGGATGATTCCTGAGAACACTGTAAGGTCACGGCTTATGTCATATCTCTAGGAAAAATTCAGCTAGCAGGAATGAATGGAGAACATAGTCGTGTGCTTAGGATTGTCTCAAAACCAAAGTCAGATACTATGAACTTGACAGGAAGCACCAAGTGCACTGCCCTCCACTGTGGTCTTCACACCTCCATGCTGTGAGCCAGCTGACAATGCCCCTTGTGTCTCCACATACTTTCTGCTGGACTACTATTGGGCTTTCCATTCATTCAACCTTTACTGAGTACCTGGTGTGCCTTTTACTGCACCTTTGCTCTGAGATAATAGAAATGGACATGATAGATCCCTTTTCTAAAGAGATTTATGAGCCAAGAGGAGAGGCAGCTATGTCAAGGTGACAGTAAAGCAGATGACTTCTGGCACAGAGGCTCATACAGGATGTTAGGGAGCACAAAGAGCTCCTAATTTTGCTTGGTGAAAGAGGGTGGAGAATAGAGGGAAGAGGATCACAAAGGAAGGGACACTTGCATTTATTTACTAGGTATACTAGGGAGGGGCAATGGGAAAGGATCTAGGGGTAGAGGGACCCAGAGAGGAAATCCGAAAGACCGCATCAAGAGAAAGGCTCAGGAATCACAAAGGAACTTATCTGGGACCTATTCTGCCAAACTGTTAAATGGAAGACTGAGCTCCATGGACTAAGGATGAGGGGGTAGATATAGTAGGTGGAATTCTAAGACGACCTCCAAGATTCCAGTCCCCTATAGAATCCTCTCCCCATGAGAGTGAGCAGGATTTGTGAAGATCTAATTTCACACCTGTGATTTTATTACTTTATATGGTAAAAGGGGGCTTAGGTGTAATCAAGGTCCCTAATCAGTTGACTTTAAATATATTAAAAGAGAGATTATCCTGGGCTTGAATTAACCACATGACCTTTTTAAAAAGGTTTCAGGACTTCCTAGAAGTCAGAGTGATTCCAAGTAGAATTCTGAGAGGGTCTCCTTTTTGGCCTTGAGGAAGCAATGCCATGTTGTGGAGAGAATTATATGGGTAGGAACAGCATGTGGCCTCTAGGAGCTGGAAATGAATTGGATAAGCAGTGAGCTTGGAAGAAAACCCTAAGCCTCAAGTGAGATTACAACCTTGGCCAACACCTTAATTCTAGCCCGGTGAGATCCTGAGCAGCTATCCCGTACCTGTGCCTGTTCTGGTATGGGAAAATTATTATGTGGGATAATAAACTTATGCTGTCTTAAGCCTCTAAGTTTGTGGTAAATTGTTATGTAGCAACAGAAAATTAGTTCAGTGGGTAAAGATGGAGTAAATGTTGAAGACAGGAGGAGGTAAGCTCTAGAGCCCCATGAGAAGCTAGAAAGCAAGAAGCATTCTGTTTAGCTAGTCAGTCCATGAGTCAGCATATATTTATGCTGAAGTATAAAGTCGGGCAAAAAAAAAAAACCCTGCCTACTTCCTAAGGATTGCTGTGATAGGAACTAAACCTATGAGTCTTTCCTTCTCAAAAGGAATGCTCAGATGAGTGGTGAAGGCTGAGGCTCTGTGACTTCTCCTGCCCAACAAGAGACTGGTGGAAAGGAAAGAACCCAGAGATGATGTTTATATCCTGGGGAGACATCAAAATTGTATTTCATTAAAAGGCAAATACTTCATTTTTGTGCCGTGAAACTTGGCAAGTTTCTTCCCTGAAATTTAGTTGTGTCCTAGAGCTTTTTTTTTCATGTTTTACTTGTTACCAAAAATGCAAAAGCAAACTCTTGCATTTTGTGGTACATTTTCAATCTTAGAAAATATTGAAAAAATAAAAGTGTAGCCAGTTTATTTTTCCCCTCAAAGGAACCAATGTTTGGGTTTTATTTCTTCTTTTTATTCTTTTAAAAAATTGGGTCACACTGGTGAATCATTTCAATGTTTGAATCATTTTAGAAGGTCCAGAGGACAATTTCTTTAACACTGGAAATAATCAGGGGTTATATAATATACATAGGATGGACAAATAGCTTTAAAAAAGAAATCCCTACATCTCTTTTTCTTCTACCATCTCAAGGGCCATAAATCTTCACTGAAAATAATAAAATGTTTTTAATGACAAAGTTATCTTCATATGAAATTTTAAAGCTCTAGTAAATTGTGTAATAGAATATCAATTGCCTATCTGTGAGGAAAGTATGGCATAGTGTTGTCTCACATCCATGGGTGGAAAGTAAATTAAAGATATATAAAGATAATTAACAATACAGGATGATCACATATGGCACAAAGAGTTGGAAGAGTTTAGGCATATTTGTGTAGCAATAAAATCAGCTGGGTTGAAGGTGGGATTCATCTCAAAGGAAGTAGGGAGATATTTGGAAAATATTAGTGAGTCTAGGCTTTTCCCGTATGCAGTGGAAAGCCACTGAAGTCTTCTGGATCCAACAAAAGCAAGTGTTTCATGAAGATCCGTGGTCAGTTGTGTTTGTTTGGATTGGCAGCAGGGAGCCTGTTGAGAGTTTATGGCAAAAGTGATAAGGACCAGCCGGGGCAGGGGGAAAGGAGGTTGGAAGATGGCATTCAAAATATAATATACAAAAAATATATATGTATAATATACAGAAAAATCTGAAAGACATGATACCTCTCTAGGGAATTTATTGATGTCACAAACCTTCAAAGATTTTGGCCAAGACTCAGCTTGTTTAGTGGGGGACCAGTGATCTCAGGCAACCTTCCTTTTTCTTTGCAGAGAAATATAATTGTATGTGGGCTTACAGTGACATTTTTAGAGAATTAGCTCATGATGAATTGAGAACTTCAGAGATTAAAAATTAGTCACATCTGGAACAAAGCATTATCATGGTGTAAAAGTCTGCTTGCTCTGGGACAACTTTTAAAGATGCTCTTCGGGGACAAATTGGTGCCTAGAGGTGCTGCTCAAGCCTGAAATTTCCTAGGCTTCCACATATCTTTTTATTTAGTACCCTGCTAGGCTGCTGGTTTCTATGTTGCCTCATACAAGAGGAGAAGCCTGAGAAGCCAGAGTGATTAACCCAAATGCTAGTCTTATTTTCACACACACACACACACACACACACCCATTTTGACACTGTTTTCACCTCCACTCTTCAGCAGTCGTGAAGTTGAGTAGGCACCCACTACCTCCTTGGGAGACTAGTGAAATGGAGGAGATGGGGACACTAAGGGTAAGAGCCAACATCTATTGAGCACCTAGAGAGTACCAAGTCCTCTGCTAGAAACTAATCAATGTAAAGTTTAGCATAGTGCTAAATACAGTTTGGCTCAATCAATGTTCATTTCTTTTCTCCTGGCTATTAGATTAGAAAGAGGACATGAGATGGTGATAGGCAGGAGCCATAAGGAAGACTGACAAGGAGAAGCTCAGTATGTGTGCTCCGGAAAGCAACAAGCAGATTCCACCAACCCTCCCAGAAATAGAAGAAAAGCTGCTCTCATTGATCACATAGGAGGGAGAGAGGACTTTCAGATTAACACTCCCAGCCGTCCTGAGCCAAGGCCAGCACTGAGGCCCAGTGGGAACTAGGGATGATTCTACCCCCTGCTTTTACTAATCCCGACCAAGCAGTCCCTCCTCCATCCCCAAATCACCTTCCTCATCAGAAGAAGTAGTCCTGGAAAATGATTCCACCCTTTCTTCACCTTTTCTTCCTTTGTCTCATGGTCAATTTCTGAATTTTTCATTTTTGAGAGAGGAAGATAAGCACTTTCTTGAATTATACTCCCAAGGAGATACAGGTCTGAGGGACCTGGGGCTGGCTTCCCAGTGGACTAATTTCTCTCTTGTGAGACTCCAGATCCCACTATTGACAGTAGTATCTCTTCCTCACACTCCTCAGAATGACCCATGTGTTACATAGAAAACTGCTTTGGCTGTAGTGGTGTGAGAAGGGAAAACCTTCAGACCCCAAAGTCTTACGGGCTGGTGCAGTGGAGAAAACAGAACCTGTACTCAGGATACCTAGGCTCTAGCCTACATTTTCCTTGTCAGGACCCTGAGAAAATCACATCACCTTTGAGTCTGTCTCCCTGTCAACCATGTAGGAATCACAAAGCTTATCACAAAGGTGTGCTGGATTGTCATGAGGATGATAAGATAACTAATACACAGAACACTCTTGCTGATGCAAGGCATCTACTTGTGCTAGCTAAATGACTAACACTTATTCTTACACTTTTTGTCTCCTTTCCCAGATTTAACACACTGGCACTAATTTGATGCAGAAAGAGAAGGTAAGTGCTTTCAAAGAGAAAAGGTAGCAGAGATGGGCTGGGGGAGTAGTTAATCTTCCTTATGAAAAATTATGTCCTTGGCAAATGGCCTCAGCTTCTCCCACTCTTTTTTTTTTTTAATATCAGATTTCATCTTTTTTACACTTCAATTGCTACTCTGGACACTGTCCAATGTCTTCATTTCCCTTTTGACTTCTGGGGCCCCAAACCTGACTGTATTCTCTAAGACTATGTTTATTAGGCAAAAGACTATTACACGGAGTAGTCGACATTTTGTAGGGTTCACAAAACTATAAAAATAGTACTTTATATACTATTTTGTAAAAGTGATTTGCTATTGGTTCTCCTCAGAAGAGGGAGACTATCAAAGATGTTTTCTAGAAAGGGAAAGTCCCCAGAATCAATCTGGGAAATGCTAACAATGTGTTGCAGTTCTGAAGCACACAAGAGAACTTGAGAAAGATTTCAACCTTGGATCCTAAATTTCTAGTCCAAATTTCTGTTATTTCACTGAATTGTGAGCTCATTTAGGACAGGGATGATGTTTAAGCCATTTTTGTAGCTCCAAGATACAGCACATAGGGGCATTCAATGCACCTTTGTTGAGTGAACATCTATGTCAAGTATCAACCCAAATAAAGCAGAAAACTTGGAACCATAGACTCCTGGGACCTGGCACCACCAGACCAGGGGATATAGGATTCCTAAATATAACAGGTTCTATCAGTGGGCCTCTGCCAGTAAGTCCCAGGGGAGCACCAACCAAAAGAGATGGATTCCAAGTATGTGGTTAGACTTGCAAGTCCAACCAAATGGAGGAAGGACACTGTACTCTTTCTCACACTAAGTACAACTAAACACTCTGAACAAAATACAAATACACAAAGCAATCAATTGAGGACTCTGAAAAGTAAGCAAAAGCAGCTGGATTGGGGAAAGAAAAACTCAATACATGACCAATATGGTGGCAGTGAGTTTCTTAGAATTTTTCTCCTGGCTTTGACTTGAAGGTGAGCTAGCTGACTCATGAAACTGCACAGAAGTCATAGACAGCAACAACTGTATGAAATAGCCCATCTCTGGACAAATGACCTGCAAAGGGGGCCCTTGCAAGCCAGAGTGGGTGGGGGAAATTCTTGTTCTTGTCCTTATATGTTTTTCTCTCTCAGTTCAGTCTGAAGGCCAGATGTAGCTTCTGAACTACACTGCTCCCACAATTACCTCAGGGACTTTCCCGACTCACAGGCTATCTAGGACAGGTAGAGGACAGGTAGGCTGAGTGGGCTTGGACAGTCTTTTACATCCCTCAGTTTCTTCTTTGGTAAAATTAGCCTACTGGGAAGCCAAGCCCCAGGTTCCTCAGAACTGTATCTCATTCTTTTTTTCTCTTGCCACTTTATTCAGATGGCAGGCATAGTAGAATGAAATGCTGTGATGTCATTAGTGGCTACAACTCTAAGAGCCCTATCTTTCTAGCCAGGAGACCAGTGAACGATGATCCTTGAAGCTGAAGAATGTGAGGAAAATTGTGAAGAGGAAAGAATAGGACAAAGGGATTCCATGTATGAACCAACATAAGTCCTGGGCTATACCTCCAAGCTGTGCATGTGTGGAATATACCTAAACACATAGCAAAGGCTTTGAAACCTGAACTGACAGTGGAACGTCTGCAGAAGGTGAGACAGAACTTGCAGTCTGCACTTAACTGGTTTACATGAATGCTAAAACAAAACAAAACAAAAAGTCAACATGCTCTGATTTTAACAGGACCCAGAGTTATATAACACATATATAAAATATCTAAGATATAATCCAAAATTACCTGATGTGATAAGAACCAGGAAAATCTGGCCGATTCTCAAGGGAAAAGATAAGACAATGTTGAAATTACAAGAAAAAAATAGTTTAAGGCAATTGTTGTTATCATTCTTCATGATGTTAAGGTAAATACTCTTAAAAATAAATAGAAGTTCTCAGTAGGTTTGAAATAGGAACCTTTTTTTGAAATGGAAATTTTTGAACTAAGAAATACAACATCTGAATAAAATATTCACTAGATGAGCTTAGTAGCAGAATGCAAACAATAGAGGGAAGAGTCAGTAGACTGGAAGATAGATCGATAGTAATTATCCAATCAGCAGAACACAGAGAAATATGTTTGAAAAATAATGAATAGAGCTTCAGGAACAGTTTCGTATGGTCTTAAAGTCCATGCCACTGTAATTCTTAAGGGAGTGGAGAAGGAATGGCATAGAAGGAGGTAGTTGAAAAAAAAAAAGGCTGAAGATTTCCCAAATCTGGTGGGAGATGTAAGTTTACAGATTCAAGTAGCTCAGGAAACCCTAAACAGAATAAACTTAAAGAAAACGTGAACTAAACGTCTCACCATTTTCTCTATCATCCTACCCACTAATGCCCTCCTGATTATACCCTGAAGACATCTGCATTTTTGACCCTGGAGTCAGGGAAGGAACACTGAATGGGGGTCAGACTCCTAGGGACTGACTGAAGTGTGAGACTCAGGGAAAACCAATTCCCCTGCCTGGGCCTCAGGTCCTCATCTAGAAAATCTCAGGGTTGAACTACAAGATTTTCTAATTTCCTTCTAGCTCTAAAATATCACTCATTATCAGCTCCTCTGTGGACTTTTTCTGTTCAAAATAACATTGTTTACCAAAACCTAGTGCTGTGAATCAAGATACCACTTTCCTGCCAAGTCTTTAGACCCTTTGTAATGGTGCAAATGACTGAAATGGAGATGCTCACAGAACAGAACCAAAAATGAAGTTTCGTAGCAACTAGAATGGAGGTTAGCTTTCCCCAGCAGCTTCCTACAGAGCTCTTTGAACACCATGGGAAACCTGGAATTCATTGCAAAGGAAAGGAAGCTCTTCAGAAAACCTTGTACTCCCAATAAATACATTTCCATTCTCATCAGTTTGACAGAGGCTAAGGAATGGAATGGAATGTCCCCCATGGCCTCAGATTCCTAGTTTGATGTCAAGTCTGTCAGAGTAGGTTAAACCTCCTATATCTGTAAACACAGTAACTACCACTTGTATAGCATTTACAGTTAACAGAGCAGTTCTCTTTCATGTAAACTCTCATTTCATCCAACCACCAACCTCTGCAGTAGGTTGTAGCAATCACCTTCTGTTTCCTTAGAGGAAACAGTCTGAGAGAGGTTGAGAGTTTTACCCCAGGCCATCTAGTGGTTGTTTCTTCAGGTTTTGCCATTGACTGGCCTTGAAGAGCTTTGCTGCTTGGACCCCACGTGGGCTTCCTCCGTGCTAACCTCTCCAGTGAGGAATTGCTGTTCCCTCCCATTCTTGCACATTCATTCAGCCTCCACTCTGCATTGATGTGCCCAGAGGTCATCCTTCCCTCCCTTCAAGAGCCAATTTCAGCTCATTTACTCACACATTGTCCCTTTATTTTCAAGAAAAATACAAAGTAGTCTCTTTGAGTATGATAATTCTGAGTCATTGCATACCATCATCATTTCAGAACAAAAAGATGTCAAAAGGTGGGCGGGTTCATTTCATCTAGCAAGAGAGAAGGCCTTCTCTTCTTTGTTTCACCCTTAATGACTCATTCAACCTGAATCAGAGCTGAGTAGTCTTGGCCTTTGAACAGGAGGCTGGGGGGTTAGGGGGAGAAGCAGGGTGTAGGTACTGCACAAGCTGGGGCCATGTCTATGTGGCATGGAGTGGGCAGAAGGGACTGAGAAAATAGAATGATAGCATGGTACCATATGAAGCCCTTGTTCATCTCTGGACCTCTGTTTTCACATCTATAAAAACCTCAAAAGGATCACAGAAGAGTGGTTTGGGACTGGGGTACATGACCTCCCTGTAACTATTTTTCTGAATCCCTGTGCTTTCCTGTCCAGGAAACTTGATTCAGGAAAGGGGGTTCAACCCTCACATGGCTTAGTTACCCGAAGAGGTGGAGAGAGGAGGCTTTGCTGGCAGACAGGCTTGGATCCTGCCTCTGCCACTTCCTGGCTATATGCCCTTGGGATAAGTATTTAAGTTCTCTGTGTCTCATTTAGTTTTCTCATTTATAAAAAAAAAAGTATAGTACTTATCTTGATAAGGTCACTGTGAGGATAAAATGTAACATCTGCCACAATTATCTCAGGGACTTCCATGACTCAAATACAGGATATCTAGGACAGAGGACAGGTAGGCTGAGTGGGCTTGGACAGTCTTTTACATCCCTCAGATTCTTCTTTGGTAAAATTGGGATAACAACAGGTGCTTTGCAAGAGGTTTGCGAATATTAGAAATGATTAAAGAGTCCAGCACAATACTAGGACCTTAAGTGGTGCTACTGGTCAAGTAGAGGTTATGAGTATTTACCTTACCTAGGGCCAGTGCTGGGTCAAAGCAGGAGACATCAGTGGGTTTTGAACCAGAGAAGGTGAGACCAAGCTACCATCAGCACACAAGTTAGGGCCAGTACCTAGAGGTGTGGTACAGAGTGCCCATTGTATATCTGGCAAGAGTTCACACACCAGGACTAGAGGGGCTGCCCCACATACCCACTCATACAGCCTTGGGTTCAAGCAGTCTCCCTGATGGGCTCATAGGCCTCACAATACAAGCTGCCAGGCAGGGCTCTGCAGAGGCCTAGAAATAGGGTAGCACCCTATGGCAGTAGCTCTCAACATGAGTACCCAGGTCACTACAGAAGATTCACAAATATAAAAACATTCCTTTTGGGGAGGGAAGAAATACTTTTTGTTTTTTTTTTTTTTGTTTGTTTGTTTTCCTGGTGGAAACTGGGATCTATGGGGTTTTGGTCATGCTGAGCTGTGTAGTGATCCACAGACCTCTTAAGGTTCCAACAAAAGTGGCCTTGGGGTACACAAAAAACTCTGAACCAACCTGGGAAAACAATGGGATTCATCTCCCCATTCCCTCCCTTTAGCAAGTTTTAGTTGTACCCCCTGGAGAGCCAAGTCTCAGTATCTCTCCCCAAAAAAACCATGACCAAACCATCTGCTGAATAAATCACACACTGTTCTGTCTCAACAATCTTACTTGCATCATTGCACAGCCTGGAATGTCCTCTCCACTCACCCAAATCCTACTCATATAAAAAGCCCAGTACCAATCCTAACTCTTCTGGGAAGTCCTCCAAAATCTTTCTAGCCCACAGCAATTATCCCTTCTTCAAAACACATGGTCATGCCACCATTTTCTTTCTGGATAGCTTTTATTCTATAGTTTTGTTTGTCAGCATCTGTCTTTGGTATTTTTAAATTTTTTTTTCTTCATAAATATTGGTTTCCTCCATCTTTCTCATTCCTTTCTTCTAGCTAGGTCATCAAAGCCTATTGGTTGTACCTCTCAAAATTATTTTAAATCCATCAACTTCTCATGACCTCTCAGGGTCATTCTCTGGCTCAGGCTGCCATTACTGCAACATCCTCCTAAGACGTCTCCTACATCTGGCCAACCCTTTTAATTCATTCTCCACCCTGAGGTCAGGGGATTGTTTCTAAGGTACAAATCTGCCTCAAGTCTTTTTCCCACTGGCCTCAAGACAAAATATAAACTTTCCAACAGACTTTTCAAAGACCTTCGTTTACTGGTCCCTGCCCACCTTTGTGGTCACATTTCTTAACATTCCCCTCCTCCCCAGTCCCTTCCATCATTATCACTGAGGTCTGCCACATTCTGGTCATGATACATCCTTCTTAGCTACACACACACACACACACACACACACACACTCTCTCTCTCTCTCGGATATTCTATCTGGAATCCTTTTCCTTGCCACACACCATGCCTCTCACACGGCCCTTGCTTCACCTACACATATTCAGTCTTCAGGTCTCCAGTTTGATGTTATCTCATCCACTAAGCCTGCCTGCCCCCAAACACATACCCCAGTCTAGGTGATCTACTTTGTCCCCTCCACATCACCATACTTTTAATTCTACTTAATAGGTGTCTTTTACTGGTCTTTGTGCCCCAGTAGACTCTAAGCAAGATCAGAGCAGAAACCATATCTGCATGGTTTTACTGTTGCATACCCAGTGCTGGGCCCAGTGTCTACCTTTCATAAATACTCAAGAAATATTTTTTTAAATAAATGAATGAAAAGAAACTATATATCCAAATCTTCAAGAACAATAAACATTTTATATGCTTCTCTGTTTATCCCATCAGTGCCTGATTGAGGGCCCTGTGTATTCTAGGTACAAAGGGAAGGAGGTAATGCTCTCATTATTTGAATAGAATGCTCCTCTATTTCTTGGTGTTTTCCTTTTCCAGACTGAAGGCTTTTTGAACTATGTGCTAACAGGAATGCAGTTGACAACCTAATGACCTAGAGATCTGCTCCCAGGGGTTCTAGATGAGCAGGAAGACCCACAAAAGGCCTTCAGAAGCCAAATGGGCTATTCATCAAGGAGGAGCTGGAAATAGCCTTGATGGAGTCCAGAAATTCAAGTTCTCATCCCGGCACCTTCATTCATTACCTCCATGACCACAGGCAACTCACTTAGCCACCAGAGTTTGGTTTCCTTATTGGTAAAATGTGGTAAGGAAAAGGACCGGTAGTTTATCTTCACTTTCAGCTCTGAGTTATCATTCATTAATAAACATGTCACCACATTCCCACCAGAGGTGAGGAAGAATTGGGCTGTTTCCAACCT